AATGGTCTCAAGTTGCAGTGGGGGAGGTCTAGGTTGGATATTAGGAAACACTATTTCACTAGGAAGGTGGTGAAGCACTGGAATGGGTTCCCTAGGGAGGTGGTGGAATCTCCTTCCTTAGAGGTTTTTAAGGCCCGGCTTGACAAAGCCCTGGCTGGGATGATTTAGTTGGGAATTGGCCCTGCTTTGAGCAGGGCGTTTGACTAGATGACCTCCTGAGGTCCCTTCCAACCCTGAGATTCTATGATCGTATGTGCCTTTTGCTGTCCTTGTGAAAATCTGCCAAGTTATAAGTCTCTGAAAAGTCATCCATCTGCACTGGGCATGCTCCAGCCCAGGGGGGCAGGGAGTGAGCAGGACTTTCCCGCAGTGGCTTCTCTGGGACCCAGAACTGAGAGCAGCTGATGCCTCATTTGTGCTCAATTCTGGCCTTTCCCAGCCTCTGGGGGCTCGACTTTGCAGCCTTAACGTTCTCGTCATGCGCCAGCAATGACAGCCCCGCACTGCTGCAGCCCACGCCCTGCCCGCCCCAGGACCGGCCATCCCCCAGGGGGCGAGAGCCAAATCTGCTGTCCCCCAAACCCTGGGGCCTTCCAATCACAGCTCTTAGGCTGTGCCCATGAGCTCAGTGCCGGAGCCTCCCCACGCACTCCCCTGGGCAGTGGGGCAGATGTTCAACCAGAAGGGCCCAGAGAGACTGCATGACGCACCCAAGGGCACAGGAGGTTCGGTGGCAGAGCAGGATGCTTGACCCAGGTGTCCTGTGTCCTAGGCCAGGTCCCAAACTGCCAGGCAGCCTCCAGTCTTCCGCTCCGCCCTTGCTCCAGGCCCTGTCGTGGTGCCAAGGTGGATCCCCCACCTGGCCCAGGGGGGTCTTGCAGTCAGTGACGGGGGGTGTTCGGCACTGCCAGCAGCTCTCGGGGCGTCTCTGCCACCAGCCGTGCTGGCCCGAAGGCTGGGCCCCTCGGGCGTCGCTGGTTCCTGGGCAGCCTGCCAGCCACTTTCTGGTTGGCACCTTGTTCCCGGCTCTTTTGTAACGGGGTTAATTGTCTTTGGCTCAGGGAGCTTGTTAGATGTTGGCACTAAGGCTCTTGTCCTTGTGCCCATGAGGCTGCCCGGGAGATGCGCTGCCAGCCAGGACTCTCCCCCCACCAGGGCTGCACGGACGCTCCTGGGAGGTCCGGCTCAGTGCCGCGCCCAGCCCGAGAAAGCAGAGGGGGTGGGGACAGGCAGACAGCAGCCGGGAGACACACGCGCCAGCTCGTGCTACCAACCGTGTGGCCATGGTGCCTTGGGAGGCTGCATCAAATCCCGGGTCCTCGCTCACGCACAATCCCCAGGAGATCCGACATCTGCCCCAGCCAGGCAGGGTCCAGCCGCGGCTTGGCCTCACCCCGTGGGCTGCTGGCTGCAGCAGTGAAACCCTCCCAAGGCCAGAGCTCGGCCCCCTCGCAGCGGGGGGGGGGGCGTGTGCATGGCTCACAGCCAACTGCTCCGCCCGGGGGGATGGCAGGAGAACCAGGCCCCCATCCGTGGGGCAGAATGACAGTGACAAAGGCCCCACCCTGCGTGCACTGTCAGTTCGCATATAGCTCGCTACGACACGAGCTAAGGGAGCAGCTCCACTAGCGTGCAGCTGCAGCAGGTTGTTACCCTCCGGTCAGGTTTGAGTTCTGGGTCCAGGCAGAGCCTCCTCCCATCCCCAGAGCTGATTAGGCAATGGCTTGGGGAGCCCATCAGGCTGGGCCCAGCGTCCCCCCCCTCGACCAGCCCCTCTCGGCAGCTTGTGCTAGTCTGCTCAGATCTGCGACCTTCGTTTCCCTCGCCCCTTCCCAGACATCCCCTCTGACCTGCTCCAATGGCTGGACCCTGCCCGGCCGGGCCAGGGGAGCGCCCAGGGCAGGCGCCCCGGGGCCCCAGGGCTGGGAGCACGAGTCCCTGCACCACAATGGGAGAGTGCCCGGCCAGCCACAGAGCTGGAACAGAGTCACCCGGGGCCATGGCAGTAGCACGTTCCCAGGGAATCCCACCCCTGCAGGCTGCCCTGCAGAGTCCGCTGGTGGTCACTGCCCGCCCGCCCGGGAGCCCCCTCACCACCACCCCTGCCATGGCAGCTCCAGGTGCCCATCCTCGCCCGCCCAGTGTCTCAGGAGCATGGGCAGGGGACAGTGGGTGGCAGCAGGGCCCATCACAGGCATCTAACCAGGCTCCCACCAGGGTGACAGCAAGGGGCGGGCGCTGCCTAGCATTGGCAGGGCACTGATGGGGGCGGCTCCCTGCCTGAGCCCCCACCCCAGGGCACAGTTTCCGTCGTGTCTGCATGAGCCATGGGGAGCAGGCAGGGCCCCGGCACACCTGCTCTCTAATGAGGGGCTGCAGCAGCCGGGAGCGGAGCTGGGGTGGGGGCTGCAGGGGCTCAGAGCTGGGGCCCAGGTCCCGCCCACGGGGCAGACAGCGCAGGCGAGCTGGGCACGGCCGGCAGCATAGCAGAGCCGCCCCAGGAGGGGCCAGCAGCAGCCTCGTTCATGGTGGGAGTTTGCTGCCTCCTCCTCAACTGGCCTAGTTACGTCTCCGCAGCTCCCTGAACCGCGCGGTGACTCGGGGGCCCAGTGAGGTGCCCGTGGCTAAGCCCAGCGGGCACAGAGCATGGGCAGGGCAGGCTGGGTTATCCTGGGCTCCTGGCTCAAACAGTGCCCAGGACCAGCTGCTCCGGAGCACACGGTGGCAGGCAGTTCCACTGGCCACTCCTGCCTTGTGTTACTTGGAGATTTGCTGCCTCTCCGTTTAATCGACTGTCCCCATGTGCCAGCCCCTGCCCCACTGCCAGCCCCACTGCCAGCCCACCCTGGCCCCACCCCGCCCCTCACGCGCCAGCACATGGACTGCCTCTGACAGGCCCGGTAAAACCACTCATAATGTTACCTCCTGATAGGCCCCGCCCCCTGGGACGAGCCCCAGTGGGGCTGGGACAGGAGGCAGAAGGCACCCCCACCCTGAAGGGCCAGGCTCCCCCGGTCAGGGCCCCACATGTCCCGGCTGCAGGGGGCCCAGAGGGGGGCTGGGGAGGCTCCTGGCCATGGGACCGCGGGGGTGGGGGGAGCTGCTGGCCCTGCTTCTCTCACTCCGAGGTCCCCCCCTTGTCTCCTGTCCCAGCTCCAGTCCCTTGGCCCCGGCGAGGGCTCCAGGCCAGCGGCACCCAACGGCACTTTGCGTGGCAGGGCTCGCCAGCGCACTCACTGGACAGACGAGTCCCGCCCCACCCCCAGCGCCTTGGGGCAGCCCCAGCCTCGCTC